TTTTCCCTAAGATCAGCCCTACCTAGGCCCCTTTCCCAATACAGCCTTCTGGAACCTCTCTGCCAGCAAGGAATTAGCCACTCATCATCATCCCCTGCTTAAAACTAACCCTTTCCTTGTTTTTCTCTTCCTTAATTATTACTGTACACCATCTGGATCATTGTAGTTAATTTCCAGATGCCAACAGTTTCCCTGAAGTTGCAGTTGAGAAAGGAGTTGGCCCTGATACTACTGTTTTATATGAGTGTAAATCTGAAATAACATTTTAAAGGCTGGTGAAAGAAAAGACCTAGGCCCAATATTTCAGTATCCTTTGCATCAGCACCCTCTGTTCCTTGAACACTTGTGATGGTGCACTGTGTGTGTTAAGATACTAGGTACTGTGCTTAGATTGGTGTGTACATATCCCAAGCTCTGCACAGACCTTTACCTTTTCTTGCATTGATCATTGCAAATTTCCTAGAATAATCTGATCAAATGGGAATGCTGAGTGCAGCCACTGGGTTGGGATTTATTTTTCCCCTTTTCTTCATTTCAAATTCCCTGTGGAATTATGTGTGAACTTCACTTTATTTTAGTGCTGACACCGGAGTTTGCTGAAGTGATACAAGCAATTTGTTTCTTTAGTCTAGATGTCTTTTCAAAGCTGCCACTAAATTACATGGAATTGATTTGCAGGGATTAAAATATTTTCCATATTTTTATTATTTTTATTATATACTCTTGGGGGAATTCTGCACCAAAAAAATTAAAAAATCTGCACACAATATTTTAAAATTCTGCAAAATTCTACGAATTTTATCTGTCAAAATAACACTATATAATCATGCCAGTTTAAATTATTTTGTAAAAAGAAAAGGAGTACCTGTGACACCTTAGAGACTAACAAATTTATTAGAGTGCTCTAATAAATTTGTTAGTCTCTAAGGTGCCACAAGTACTCGTTTTCTTTTTACGGATACAGACTAACATGGCTGCTACTCTGAAACCTAAATTATTTTGGTAATTTATTTCAAAAAGACCCAGGAATAGAGAGTTAAAGAAAACCCTATGAAGGCCCAGTTCTTGCTTCTCTGCCCTCTCTCCCCTCCCTTCCCTCCTTCCCCCTACTCCCCCAGCCCAGCCAGGGGGCCAGACACTTACACTTCCTGCCCCCCCCAGTCCAGACACACCCCCTACCCCCAGAGCCCAGCCATGGGTCCCCCCCAGCCCAGACACTCTCACCCCATAGTGCCCAGCTGCGCCTTCTCTCAGCCCAGACACTTACAGACCCTGCTTTCCTACAGCCCAGGGTTCCAGAGGGAGAAACACCCTGATGCTGGGTCCCGGGCTTGCATGGAGTTTCCTGCTTGCCGCTGCCTCCTTACTTCAGGGCTTGTGGGGAACTGCAACTACTGGGAACCCTCAGTTCCCTCCCATTCCCCCAGGCCTTGTCTTCTATTTGCAAACTGGGCTCTGCCGGGTCCAATGGCCCATGGTGGTGGCCAACATCTCTGCAGTTCATTTCTATTGGGGGGGGGCGCGGAATTCTGCATGTCCAACATTAATTTCTACAAAATTCTGCATTGCACAGTGGTGCAGAATTCCCCCACAAGTAAATTATTATAGTAGTGCCTAGAGATCACAGGCCTGGGTCAGGGCCCCATTGTGCTAGGCCTGAACAAACGTGTTAGAGAGAGAGTCCCTGGTCTAAAGAGTTTACAAGATATTGCTGCTGTGCAGAATTGATGGTACAAGCATTAAAGCATCCTGTACTCCTAAAAAATTTACATTGCATTTTCCACGTCATTATTTTATATGCTAGTTCTCATCAATTGTTGAGGTAAATGGTTATTTAACAGAACATGTTTCTCTTGTTTCCATTTTGACTCTGTTACTGGAGATGCTATTTTCATAAAAGAGAATAAGGAGTGTGGGAATTGCTAAGCAGTGCTGTGCACAGAGCTTTACCATGTGTGGTAACCGCTGAAAAGTGCAGTTCTTCAGTAAGAATCTTTTCTGCGGGAAAATGCAGGAGGTTATGTCATAACCTCTATTTTTTTGGCAACCCACGTAATCTCGCAAATCCCTTTGTAGGGCTTTCACTTTGTAATCTCTGTTGCAGTAACTATCCTGAGGTCATGTGCTTCCTTCTGGTATGCAGCAGACAGGAGAAGCATGTTTAAAAGGTAACCTAAAAGGGAGCAGTAAAACTCCAGTAAGGATGTGAATGCCACAAGCATTCAACCTCAAAAGGCAGCCGTGTATAATAATAATTATAGCCACACAGTAACAACACACTGCTTAACTGTGGTGTGGTGTGGACTACAGTGGGAAGGAGCATCGTTTGGGATAGTAATACTGCCCTCCTAGGGGGGTGTGGTAAGGTTGAGGTGTAATTTGTTAATGTTTGTAAAGTGCTTTGTATTCCTTGAAGGAAAGGGGTCGCATAAATGCAAACTGACTGAAAAATACAGGACAAAGCATTTCAAGTTGGGGTTAACTCTGAGCAGCCATAACTTGCAGTGTGATATAAAAGGAGCCCTGGGGGTGATATATGTGTTTGAAATTAGTGTCTAGCATAGAGCTGGAGGCAGGCAGGCAGGGAGAGATGAGACGAGGTGCACAGTGTGCCATGGCTCAGTGGTGCAGGGGTTTGTTTCCGGTAGATGGGAACAGAGATCCTGGGTTTAATCCCAGTGAAGGTACAAGATGATGGTACGCTTCCTGTCAGAACTGCCATGTGAGGTTCTAAGGCCTGTGCTATGTGGCAGGGCAGACTGGTCCCTTCTGGCTATAAAATCTATGAACTCCAATTCTTTCCATACCCACGAGATTGGTGCTGTTGTGCGCTAGGCTCTTGGGTCGTGTGCTGGTCTGGACCATTGTTATATGGGATTTCCACATGCTTTCAGCTCCTGTGATGTATGTAACTGACTGCTGCTTTGTCTGCTTGGATAGTGATTGTTCTGAGGCCTGCTATGGGACACTGGTTTTTGTATGAGTATTCATACGTGTTGACATATCTAGCATGCAGTTATAGGTCATTTATGCTGGAGGGCGTGTTCATGGCATCCAACAGAGAAGTTAGATAAAAACATAGAATACTCTTTCTGGAAGGTTACAATGTAACACTACTTTAGGGCTCATCTTTGTGGTGCATTAGTGCATGGCAGCGTGGTGCAATTTCTAGTGTGTGGCATGCTGGTGTGCACTAAAAGTCCTTGTGGACCCTGCCGGCATGCACTAAAAGTTTTCTTTAGTGTGTGTTGACACTGTCCAAACAGGACTACATCAGTGTGCACTAGGGAGCTTTTAGTGAGCACAAGTAGGGTCCACATGGATGGTTAGTCTGCCACACATTGGTGCAGGCTAGAATTTACTGCTCAGCTGGTGCACACTAACACACCGGGTGGACAAGCCCTTATTCTTAGAATCCAGAAGATAATACGCAATAACCAAAACCAGAAAGTGATAAACCAGGGAGGAACAAATCACCCCACTTTGTTCTGGGCTGGGTTTTTCCAGACTGACTGCTGCTCCCAGATTGCATGCTTCACGACAGAGCCCCTTAGCTTGCAAGCAGGACCAAGGAAGCCCATCCTCCCACTCTTCAAGTGATAGTTTGTAATTCCAATGCAGTCTTCAATACACCACAGGCATCCTGTAGCTATTGCCAATGGCACGTGGTAGTTTGCCACTTTGGAAAGACTGAAAAACGGATCTACTAAGGATGTGCAAACAGTGCACTTACATCTAGTATCTCTTCTGCAACTGAAGTATTGGTTTAGCCGCAGTAAAATAATGGTTTGTTTAAGAGAAAGAAGATGGAGGTAGTGAGAATGACAAGAGTTTTGCCGGATGTCGGCAGGGAACTGAAGAAATTGGCATCCCCTAAGCAATACCTGCATTTCCTCAGCAATTATCTGTAAGGTCAGCAGTGCTGCCAACTGAGGCCAGAGTCTGGCCTATATGTTTGATGGCTAGCAATGGAAAAGTACAGTATGCACTAGGTACAGAGAGCCAAAGCAGGGATGGTTCTTCTGGAAGTGGACTGTGTGAGGAGCCCTATTTCAGTACGGTATAGGATCATGCCTAGCGGGAATGTGCAACCATACAAAGGCAGGCAAAGATACTTACCTTCATTAAGCATAATGTTGTGTCTTTATTGTCTATACAAAGTGTTAGTACTATGAGAAAACCACATGGATTCCAATGGGTTCCAAATAATTGCTTGCTAACTATATACAAACATTCAAACCTACAAAAGCCTAGCTACTTATATATGCTATTGTTCTGTTAGGATCTGCGGGCTTTGGCAATAAAAGACAAAGCGGCTGACTAGAGGGATCCCAAACTATTGAAAAGTACATTACCTGATTCCTATACACTATACATAGGCAAAATATGTAGAATTATCGCTAACAGTTTTGCTATTGAACTGTTTCTGGTTTGGTTTTATCGTTTATAGTAGCATGAGTTGCATGGGAAGGGGAGGAAGCAGTTGTTAGTAGGTTAACTGAGGGCATTTTTAAAGTTTAAAAAAAAATATTTGCAGAGACCATTAATTTGTAAAATTGCTCTGCATTGTGCCCACAGACTCCTTTGGGCCACAGTCTCAATTGCACCAGCTTTGCATTCATCTCTGCTGCAAGAGAAGTTTAAGTCCACTTAGTCACTCAGATTTTTGTAAGGGGGCTACAGTTGGAAAAGAATATGATCCAGGAGTATACCAAGGAGAACTTCCTAATAAGGTAATTCAGCACTGGGGCAAATGGACAAAAGCCACTTTCTGGAGAGTATGGGATAAATCAGGCGCATTTGTGAAAATAGCAGTAAAATATTTTCAGTCTAGCACTTGCTGTTAAATTTGTACTTTTTAAAAGGACCAAGTTTGCATTCTCACTTAAGTTTCTTCTTTCTAATAAACGGCACAAGTTCCAGCAATCTGAAAAACTGTCTCCACTGAACGAAAAGTTTCAAAATGAACCGTGGTGATGCAATGCTATTTCTTTTATTAGAAATGTGCCACTACGAAGGAACTGATTGCAGTGGGAAATGCACAAGAACCATAACTCAGAATATTCATCAACTTTGCAGATTCCTGGAGCCTGTTCATGAACTTGACGTCAGGAAAGGTCAGTGTACGACATTAAAGTAAACAGTTTTAGTAACGCTGCTGTGAAATTCAGCAAATAATGTGACATGTTTTGGAGCTAAAGATGGAAGTAATTATGAAAGGGGAACGTCACCCACCCAAGATGACTAAAGTCCAATGTTGTGAGCTCAGGTTATTAACCATCCAGATTATTAACCAGGTCACTACTGAAATAAATCCAAGCTTACTGCACACACAACCACATTGTGATCTGTATGGTAAATCTTGTATAAAATACCAAAGTATACATTACATGTAATGTTATAAACCATAGATGTGAATGAATTTGTTTGAAGTGTAAATTAATATAAATGGATCTGTTAATATTCAAGTGACTTTGCTGGACTTCTGTGTTTCAATTGTGTGGTTGTGGTTTTTGGAGCATTCAGTGAGTCAAAATTTAATCAAATTGACCCTCAGGCATAAGAGAATATGGCCCTCTGTGTATGGGATAAGGCAGTGTTCCGAAAGCACAAAATTATGGCAGTGTTCCCAACCGGGGATTTAATATACACCCTCAGATGCTGTGATTGCAAACCAAGAAAAACCTACTGGCAGACAGATGAAGGACTTACAAGTTAACTCATCCATATGGCAGTTCCTCCATTCAGTTGAGAAACTGACTGTGTGTTTTTTTTTTTTTTTTAATTCCAGACATTCAAAAAAGGTGTTATCCGTTCCAAGTATTGCAGTATATCCTTTTAAAATTAGCTGACAGTTGATAAAATTAGGTTAGACTCTTTCTTTGGAGGTTAGTTTGTGGCAAATTTCAATTATTTATTGATACAAGCACTTGTTTGCTTGCCTTATTGTATCGGTGTATATATATTTCTAGTGTTTCCTGCTGTGTAATGTCCTTTTGTGCAATGGACTCGAGTCAGTCCCACTGTTTGGGAGGAAAAGGCTAGATTTTGTTTTCAGATGGTATTCTTCCTAATACATTTACCTCTGATTTGTCATGCAGTGCAAGGTTATCTCCCTTTTTGTGAGTTGGAACTTTGCTCCTCGTTTCAGAAGGAACAGGTTCAGGTCAGAATATGTTCATAGGAGCATATACAGGTGCTAGCCATTTGTCATACATCAATAGGCAGTAGAACAGTTAATAATTTTTTTAAAGGGGCAATGGCAGTGGTTCTCAAACTTTTCACACAGCAAGGCACTGCAACCCCCCCTTATAAATTAAAAACACATTTTAAAATATTTAACACTATTATAAATCCTCGAGGTGAAACGGGTTTGGGGGTGGAGACTGACAGCTCGCAACCCCTCACCTAATAACCTCGTGACCCCCTGAGGGGTCATGACCCCAAGTTTGAGAATCCCTGGACAATCGTGTCAAGTTGCTGTCATTATTAAAAGAAGCACTTCACTCCCTTCAGAGAATGCACTGTTTTTCAAGCAAAGTACAATTTATGCGTTAATCTTCCTGTGACCACTTCCAAAATGAGAAGTTGTTTAACAATGGCAGATGGCATCATCATTTGCTCTCAGCAAAATAGAGTGGATATGGGATGATCTTGAAGTGACAAATATGTTATAAATCAAAAAAAAAAAACCTTTACTGAGCCACATAATGACATAGTATTGTGTAGGCAAGCTCTACAAAAGAGAAAATCCAAAATCCTGTCTTTTCATTTCAGCTGTGAAACACTCATCTTCAGATATCAACAGTAACAGTTGAAAACAATGCAAAATACTAAAATAACAAAGATAATCACAGAACTGTGAAAAATTATGCACAGAACTGTGCAAAAATAAGTCTTTTCCAAACTAAGACCCTGATCTTGGGAAGACTCAGATGTGCTTATTTTTACACTCTGTGAGTAGTCCCACTGACTTTAATGTGTAAAGTTAAAGCATGGAAGTAAGTCTGCAGGATTTGGGACTAAAATGTTACCTATTATACAGTAGTATAAAATATTAAACCTTGTGTTCCTTCACATGAGATCTTAACCTTAACCTTCATTATCCTTTTTCTATAGCATTAGTTTCCATAAAACTTAATTTTTGCTGCTTTCAGTGCAAAATCTACCATTAATAATTTAATTTTTTTCCTGAACATTTAATCCTGTCTTCTGATTGGCTTTATTTCAGAACATCAACCACTCCTATTTGAATAGGGCCTGTTGTAACAACTGAGCCTACAATTTTACTCAGTTTTCACAGTTGAGCTCACAAAGTGTCACAATAACCTATAACAGCAAATATTGATGGGAAAAGTTGCAAAAGAGGGAGACAGAGAGACTGAATTAGTCCAAACAAAGAACATCCTAGTGATGTAACTCAAGGACTGTGTTAACATCATGCTTGGTAAACAAGACCGTGTGAGACCAAAAAAATCAATGAACCAAAATTGCTGTGTCAGAAATTAAACTTAATTGGTGGACAAAGGGAGGATGGGCTATTCCAGCCACCACTCCCTTTTTGGGGTCCTCAAGAAAAAGACTGGGGAGAAAAATTAGCCACTGGAGTGAGCTTCACCATCATGGCTGCCACCCCCACCATCTCCTGATGCAGAGAGATGTCCTGACCAAACTGGGTTAGAAAGAGAGAACCAAATGACATCATCACCTCTACCAGCTCCATCTAAATCCCAAATACCACCTGTGATGTGAGACCTTGTCAGACACACATTTCTCCCCATCCCTTTTTGTGTGTTCTTCTCATTCCCAACCTTACGTCATCTCTTTCCTATCCCTCTCCTTTTTCTTTCTGTCGAGTAAGAGTCTGGCTTAGCTGGCCAAGACTGTATATTTTGTAACACTGCTGTAAGCCTGTGACCAGAAAAAGGCAAATTAAAGCAATGCCCTAAACAGCCCGACAGTGTTACAAGTTTGCCAGGGCTCAAAGCGACTGATAAGACTTGTGCTATGCTTGTGTTTTTTTCCAGCAGTGCAGTTTCAAGAGGCAACACCAGAGACAGAAGAGTCATTTTCTGTCTTTGCTGTTCTTTTTTGTGTGTGTTTATCTTGCTTTCTTGTCTTAGGAAATGGGATCAGTCTTTAACAACACTGGGAATAACAGCAGCTCTAGCCCGTCGCAGCTAACTTCTTTTTTCCCAAAAAAAGACAGGTGTCATTGGTGCCATCTAAAAGACAAATACGGGGTTTTTCTTCAAAAACTCCCTCCAGCTAAAGGGAAACGAAACATAGGATGTTGTTAAAATGAAAGTCATACTTAAAACATTTCAAATGTAAAGTATTAACTGTTTTTCCTTCTTTTCTGTATCTTTATTAAAAGGTTAAAAGGATTTTTAATGGTGTATATGCCATGGTACTAAGCAGGCTGACATATGTTACGAATTATACCTGGTAGGACACACACACAAATGCTACTAATTACACCTGGTAGGACACGCTAATGTTTCCTTAACACATATCTGCATACCAAAACCTGAACCTTGTTTAAATTTTTGAATGTTGGACAGTGTTAGGGTCTTGTTAACACCTTTGACTTTTGGGGCCTCTTTATTCCAACTAAATGAATACAACTGGCCCAAAACAGGACCTGTCAAATCTAGAAAGATGAAAAGTGTCCCTCAAAAGGATTTAACTTGCACCCTGCAACTTCTGGCTGAAGTTAATCATTTATATCCCTTTCCAGTATGCTAAGTACTTCAGTGAAAATAACTAAAATAAATCCCTGCTCAGAAGAGATTAAATCTTAGATTAGTCTAAAATATGGATTTGACAAACAGGTGAGATTAGAACATAAACTAGGCAGGCTGTGTATTCATTGCCTTTTGCTTAAGACATTAACCTGTTCACTTGGACCATTTCAAGATCCTGTGATTCTTTAAAAGAGAACAGAGGTTTATCCCAGTATCCTTGAGCAAAATGTTTCTACTCTATATATGCCATTTAGTTTTCACCTTTCTTCCCCAAGAAATTGTATCTATATTGTATAATCTAGTTTGTAAAGTGCTTTGAAATTAAAGGAACTATACAAATACAAAACAGCTAACCAAATTGCAAGTATGGGACAAACTATTGATTTAGAGTTTTGTCTGGGCTCATTCTCAGTGGGCTAGCATTCACTCAAGCCCTAAGCTGTGTTAGACACCTGGAAAGCTATGCTATTCTCTGGAGTGTGATAGTATTATAATGTAGACTGCTATCTGCAACCTGTTTTCAAAGACGGGTACTGGCACGTCAGTTGTATGCTGTTCCCATTGCTCCTGCTGTGTGTGAGATCAGCATAACTACAGCCCTCATGTAAGTGATAATATACCATCAAGGACACCAATTATTTTCATAAGCAATCCCCAACATAGCCATAGCATGGCTCTAGTACAAATTGATTGCAACGCCTAGATCCTGATCACAGTAACATGTGCCAGCAATAGCCCATGTGACTGTATCTAGATTGCACAAACTTGTTTGCCACAACAGGAACACGTCCATTAGATTGGAGGAGGGACTGTCCTTTTCCATTTAGAAAGCCCCTAACACATAGTGGGTGCTACTGCAAATAAATAACAGATGTCAAAAACCCAGCTGTAGTTTTTGGGCTGTCATGGATCTGGTACTAGCTTTACATCACAGAAAGGCCTGGAGCTATAACTGAGATCTTTGTTATAACAGCACCATTGCAACTGGCATCCTGTATAAATTATTTATCTAGCATCAAAAGCAAGCAAGGCATATGGCCTGCATTTCCTCATCTGCTCTAAGCAACGGAGTTACAGGTGTAGAGTAATAGGGTGATCTTAGCAACAGAAGTTGCAAAGAAGTATTAACTAAGGTTACATTTCCACAACCCCCCCTCTGATATTGACAATCAATATAGGACACATAAATTAGGAACACTTAACACCTGTTTCTCAATAGCTTGCGAAGGAACTGTATCCGATGTGACCACAGCTCTGTAGCATGAGGGTTTGATTATGTCTGTGTAATCCATGTGATAGTCTGCAAATCTCCATACACGCCCTGTGTATCTAAAACTTCTTCCATCACAGCGACTTGCATGGAACCTTGC